CCACTCTGTGACTCTGTAATGTTGTCTTCTTTTAAATGAGATGAATGAGAGATATCTTTCATATTTCTTTTTGGCAAAACTGAATGTGCAGTTTTGGCTAGCTAGCTAGTTTCACAAAGGAAACGGGTAATGGAGATACACTTAGATACCCAAACAGGCCCATGTTGTATGCTCTGTGATTTATATTCTCATAATTTGTCTGTATTTACAGATTATCCCTGGAGTAACATGTGCAACAGACATTATTTCTCTACCTGTGTTAGAGGTAAGTTCCAGTACAAAACAGCATTGGTATTTGCAAGTTAGGAGCTTTTTTTTTGTGTGTGTGTGGGATAGGGGTGTGCTACATACAAATGAAGCAGTGTCCCCACAGCCCTATCCAAAAATAGGGTGTACAGAAAATTAGCCTGTTTGAAATGTCTCTTCAGACTGATGTTTGCTAGCTCCAAGTTGTATGTTTTTTGCTTTCTTGAATTGACTTCTTCCACTCGACAGTGAGGGTCCTCCAAGAATTAATTTGTGTTAGATTGGATTGATACTTCCTCATTTTGTGACTTCATTAGCTGGAAGTAAACTTGGCACGCAGGCGTGCAGGGATTCTACATACCTCTACCTGTACCCGCGGGGTATTGGGATATTTCATTGTGCTGCCGTTGGTACCAGTGGTTCACAACCCTCTTGCTTTGTTTTGTCCAGAGCATCTTGTGATGGCACTGATGCCAGGCCTTGGGCTACATAAATTCCTGCACAGCCTGGAAAAGGCGGTGAGCTGGATGGGGAGAGCACATGCTGTTTGGGTAGGAAGCTGTACTTTTCCATTGAAAAGAACGTGAATGATTCTTCCCATCTTCATTCCTCTCCCTCAGCTCCAATTCAGAGAAATACTTGAAATTTTCCTAAATGTTCCCCTACAAAATCTGAAAGAGGCTTTTAATAAGCAGCTCGTTGTGGAGGGCTAATGTGAAGAGTCAGAGCTCGAACCCAACAGTACCAGTACCTACCATGGGAGTATCTGGATACGTGACAATACTGTTTCACATAGCCCTTGAAAAAATCTGTTTCCTCCCTGGTGCTTACAGTTAGCTCATAAAGTTTCAGCATTCGCAAAATCTTGTAAAATCAGCGCAGTTACACACTGCACACTCACTCTGCAACAGTGCAGCACAGCTGTGGTGCTACAGATTCACATGCTGTCGGGGAGTCGGGCTTTTCATGTTTTGCTTGGGAAGGCTGCCCTGAGAGCTGGGACACCTGGGAAAATCAGATCTTGAGAAAATTTGTTGCTGGATAATCCCTGTAATTCACCGGGGTCAAAGTGAGCAGGCCTTTAACTTGTCTGAGATTGAACCTCAAGCCCCTGGGGGTAAATGCCTTCAGCAGCTATACTTCCTGATTGTGAAACTCATTTCCTATTTCTGTCTGAAACCTAAACAGATTGAAAAGGTCAGAGTTGAACTAAAGACAAATATTTCCTGCTACTTTTGACTGCAAATTGCTCTGACTCTTGAGTGAGGACAAAGATGATAATACCAAGGGCAAGGTGTAGTGCTTTGGCTGCTTTGTGCCCCCCCAGTGATACAAACCCACCACAGCTCGAGGTGAGCTGGGGTTTCAGTTGGTGTGTGTGGTTGGCATCACAAGTCAGGCCCTGGTGACAAATCTGGTCCTACAGGCAGTATTTCTTTTGCAAAGATTTTATGGCGTTTCACAGAAACGGTGGCAAATTGTTGCTTTGAGCAGCTTTTTGGAGTTCTCAAGCCCACGAACTGTTGAGAGTCTTCGGGAGGGCTGTGTCCGTATTCAAAAAAATTTGCTGTTTGGGTATCAGGTGTATTTTTATC